TTTACAGGAATAAGCCGACGGCAGTGGGCCTGGGGGGCCCAGCCGAAGCCGCGAGGAGAGGGACTCAAGCAGCCCCCAGGAGGCAGGAGAGGAGGGTGACGGCGGACGTTACCAGCGCAAAAGAAACCAGTGAGGATGAGCGAACAGAAGGAAAAGGTACACAGACAAACTCCAGCAACATCAACCAGGGAGACGCACAGTGCTGTGAGGGACAGGGCACAAGTCCCGCATCGGGCTCCCTGCTCCGCGGGGAGTCTGCTTCTCCCTCTCCTTCTCTCTCTCAAATAAGTCAAAATCTTAAGAAAAAAGATTTCATTTATTCATTTGAGATAGAGAGCGTGCACACATGCACAAGTGGAGGGGGGCAGAGGGAGAGAGAATCTCACACAGACTCTGAGCTGAATGCAGAGCCTGAAGCGGGGCTCGATCCCACGACCCTGAGACCACAAGCTGAGCTGAAATCAAGAGTCAGGCGCTTGACTGACTGAGCCCCCAGGGACCCCTCCAATAAGGTTTTTTTTTTAAAGGAACTTTAAGCTGGTCTTAAAATTCAGATGGAAGACCAGAGGGCCAAGAACAGCCAAGACTCTCCTGAAGAAGTACATGGGAGCAGATCCGCAGCTTAGGGACAGGGCGGAGTTCGAGCACAGCCTGGAGCAGGCACACCTGGGTGCTGGGCAGAGCGGAGGCCACGTGAGTTCCGTGGACAGGTGGAAACACCAGCCATTCCACATGGAAAAACTCAGGGCCTTTCACACGACGTGTGAAAATAAATTTCCAATGAATTAAGGGCTTACAGGAAGAAAGCAAAGCTTTTAACTTTAGACGAACATATGGGAAAATGTATTTAAGAACTTGGGGTAGGAAAGGATTTTTTATTTTTATTATTTTTTAAAGATTTTATTCATTCATTTGAGAGAGAGAGAATGAGAGTGAGAGAGAGCGCACATGAGACGGGGGAGGGTCAGAGGGAGAAGCAGGCTCCCCGCGGAGCAGGGAGCCCGATGCGGGACTCGATCCCGGGACTCCAGGATCATGACCTGAGCCGAAGGCAGTCGCTTAACCAACTGAGCCACCCAGGCGCCCTAGGAAAGGATTTTTTAGAAAAGAAAAACAAACCATAAAAAAGATGAATGCATTTAAACACATTAAAATTTAAAATTCTTCACATCAATAGATACCATTAAACAAAAAAAAAAGGCAAGCCACATAACCAACACGTAATCAAGAAAAGTACCAACCAAATAGGAAATAGGCAAAGAATACGAACAGGGAATTCACAGAACAAAACCTCAAATGGTCAGTAAATGTATTCAAAATATTCCACCTAAGCAGCAACTAGGGGAATGCAAATTAAAATAAAGAGATCCTATTTCACATCCAGCACCGTGGCAAAGATTGAAAGTCTGTCCGTCTGTGTTGCCTGGAGGTGAGATACACTGTCTTGTCTGTTGGAGGCAGTCTACATGGTACGGTCTTTTTGGGAAGAGGCCCGTGCCGACGACCACGCAATCCGAAGGTGATACGTGGGAGTGGGCGGGCCTCTGTGGGGCGACTCAGAGCTTAGGTCCGCGAGCACAGCAAGCTGCAGAAGAGCATGAGGTCGGCGGCAGATCTGTGTCAGCTCTGAAACACGGCAGGAGCACCTGCAAGGGACCCCACTCAGCTCCTGGCGCGGTGGGGTGGGGGGTGCTGCTGTTGTTACTTCCTGGACAGGACAGGAGGCAAGTCCTGCAGGAGGCCCAGACCTGATGGGCTGGGAGGACATGGCCCCGGCCAGTCTTCTTTCTTCTGCTCTCAGTGTTTAAAACAATTTAAAAAAATGTTCTTGATCCAGTGTGAATAGATTTCACCGATCTGGGGTGGGAGAAGCTGGGGTCCACGTGCAGGCTGCTTAGGGAGGATGGGGTCCCAGGCTGGAGCCTCTCACCACCTGCTGCGGCTCCCAGCAGGCCTCTGAGCTCTCTGATCCTGCTCTGGCTCTCACTGGCCACCGGGGGCCCAGGGGCAGCTGACACCTGGCAGGTGGCTACAGGGCCCAGATCTGTGTTGTGTGTAGACATGTGTATGCATGTGTGTGCATGTGTGTGTGTCCGTGTGTGCACGCATGTCTGCTCAGGTGCATATGTCTGTATGTCCACACACCCACAGCATGCACGTCCATCCGGCTGGTGCAGTGTGACATCTCCTAACTAAGAAGTGGCTCTTCCCCGTTGAGGCAGGTGCTAGCGGGAGTGTCACAGACGCGGTACGGATGCAGCTGCTTGTTGCTGCTGTTGTTTCAATGGTTTTACTGCGTGCTCGTGGGCTACCAGGCTGGAATGAAGCTGACTGGTGGCTTAACGGCCTGTAGCTGCTACGGAGTAATTGAATGGCTGTGTCTACGAGCAGACGGTGAGCAGATGACGTGCGCTGCAAGCTGATGACAGAGGTACTGCCTGGGCGGGCTCATGCCTGGGAGGGGCTGGGCCAGCCCGTGAAGGAGCGTGCAGACGCACGGGCCACACACGGGTAGGTCACGCCCAGAAGTGGGCACGGAAGCTCACAGATAGAGTTGCCCATACATACACGTGCAAGGGGACGCCCAGCCCCACGTGCATGTGCTCAGTCCCTTACACGCATGTGTGCAGTGTGCCCCTGTGCACACTTCACACACCCGTGGGAACCTCCATGCGCCAGCAGTTGCAGAGCGATGGAGCCTTTGCAAAGGGCCGAGGTCGGCTGGCCACCTGCCCCAGCACCACGCGGAGGGGCTGCACGGTCCCAGGGGAGACCAGGTCAGGTGGGAGCTGCCCTCCTGGTATCTGCTCTGTGCTTTGCCGTGGTCACATTGCAGGAAGGGCCCTACCCCTGTGATGCGGCCTGGCCCTGCCATCCCAAGCTCGTGTTCCTGCACCCCGGGTTCTGGGGCTGGACCCCTGAATGGGGACCAGGAAGGACCTGGAAGACCCACCTGTTCAGGGAGGAGGGCTAAGCAGGAAACCCCCTTGCCAAGCCTGTGGCCTGCACCAAGCATAAGGAGGGACCTTCAGGAATGTGATTTCCACCAAATCCTTCTGCCCTCAGGCCCTGGCCACCCGCTGAGCTGCTTTCCCCATGAAAATGTCCCCAACCCGGGACCCAGAAGAGGGAAGGGAAGCGCAATTGCTGGGAGGCGTTAGAAGGGGAGTGTAAGGGCTAAGGACGGACTGGGGCCTCCCGTCCTGGCGGAGTGATGGTGTCCACAGGGATGAGCCGGCCGGCCCCCACGTGCCCTGCTGGAGACCTCTGCCCCAACCCTTCTGTTCCCGTGCCAGACCCGCTTCCAACATTCTGCGTCTCTCACGGTCACGGTGACGGGGCGTGGAGGGGCTGAGTCCTCAGGACGTGGGCCAGGAGAGGAGTCGGCACAGAGACTGCCGGACAGGGTCCGAGAGCACCTCCAACGGCCCCTTTCTTCCTCCTAGAGCACCAGTGAAGGGGAGACTGGTGACACAGGCAGGAAGGAGGCCGCTGGGAGAGCCACTGCACCCTGGAGGCCAGACACACCCTATCCCCTCATGCTGGAGGTCGGAAGACCGGCCAGGCCTCCTGAGCCAGGCTCACAGCATCACAGGCCTACTTCCTTCTGGAGGCTCCAGGGGAGGATCCGTTTCCTCGTCTTTCCCAGGCACCCACGGCCCCTCCCTCCACCAACCAGGCCGGCAACGGCCAGCCGAGTGTCCCCTCGACCCTCTGGCTCCGGCCCCCCGGTTACTGTCCACGGTCAGGGCCCCACGGTGACCCTCGCCCTCTGGCTCCGGCCCCCCGGTTACTGTCCACGGTCAGGGCCCCGCGGTGACCCTCGCCCTCTGGCTCCGGCCCCCCGGTTACTGTCCACGGTCAGGGCCCCGCGGTGACCCTCGCCCTCTGGCTCCGGCCCCCAGGGGACGGCCCTGCTGCTGCAGCTCCAGGGTGTCCACCAGGTCTGCGGAGACCCAGCCCATACCCTTCTCCTTGGCATGCCCTGTGCTGGCCTCCTACCCGCCCTGCCGTCAAAGCTGATCCCGGCTTCTGGCTGCCTGGCTCCTCCCGCAGGTCCCAGGGACACACAGGGGCATCCCAGGGGCCCCACCTCTTGACTGGGCTGCTCGGCCCTCCTGCCCAGACCACCGTGCCCGTGCCCTCTGTCACATGCCTGTGGGCAGCCCCACTGTTCAGCTGTTTTGTCGTCCGACCTCACTCCTCAGACACAGTGTGCTTTGCACCTGGACTCCCTCTTCCTGGGACCCTGGGCAGTCACTCACCACATGGCCCCGTGTGCTGGGCACGCCTCCTGGGATATCTGTCCAGAAGCCTGGCGGCAGGAACACGGCCAGTGGGGACCTGGGTGGGGCCACCACCCTCCTCCTCCTCCTACTCAGGGGTGCAACCCCCTCCACCTCGTGGCACAGGGTCCCGGGCCATCGCCTGCCCTGTGGCTGTCCATCTACCCATATCCGTGCCTTCGCTGCAATTCTCCAGGGACATGTCCCGTGTAGTTGTGGCTGCGTTACGAACGCGGGCGTCATAATTCGATATTGATCTATTTGGTGAGCTCAAGAGTTTCCTGCATTGTTCGTGTTTTAACAAAGGACACGCTGTCCCCTGCAGGCAGGACGAAGGGCTGCTCTGACCTCTGGGGAACTCTGGGGAATACTGGCCCCGGAGGGCACAGCAGGGCAGGGCACTGGGGTCCCAGCGCAGTGTGTGCAGCTTGGGCTCCGGAGGTTCCAGAAGGGCTGGACACACAGGCCTGCAACCCTGAGCAACTGACCAGAGACGCAGGGTCCGCGGGGACAAAGACAGTCCCACTACGGCTGCCGAGGACGGGGGGGGACGCGAGCCGGGTGCCTGGCGGCCCAGGGCAGGGGAGGGGCAGCAGGGAGAGGTGGGCAAGGGGCAGCGCGGTCACCAGGGACCCCAGAGGTGAGCTCACACCCAGGTCAGGGCCACACTAAGAACTAGAACCACAGTTTTCAAATTCACTTTTAGGGCTTGAATCTTTTTCAAAAACCTTTTTATGTAGAAACTCAACATAAAACAGAAAAGGAGCTGGAGTTTCAAAGCATGAGCTGATTCCAGGGGTTCTCGAAGGAACTTATGACCCGGCCTGCTCAGCCCAGGGGCTGGGGGGCACTGCAAGTACGGTGTAGGTGCGGGCGTGGTGCGTGCCCCCCAACGTCAGCTGCTTCCACCTGTCAGACCCTGCTCTGTTTTCCACGGAGATGCTCTCCTCCAACAAACGGGAGCACAGTCTGTCTCCAACACGCCTCCACCGACGGGAACGCCAGGCTTCACGCACCAGGACCTGGTTCTTGGCACCACCGGCCTCAGCGGGCCCCGGAGCGCTCGCACCACTTCCTCCCTTGGGGGCACCTGGCTCCCGCCCTGGGCTGCGAGGGGAGGATGTGTCCCAGCCTCACCTGTGTTGGCCGGGGCCAGGGTGGCAGGTGGCTCTGCGCACAGACACACCTGGAAAGTCCAGTCCCTGGGCCCTCATGGGGACTCAGCCCCCACCCGACACAAGGGGCATCTGTCCTGACACTGAGGGCCCAGCACCAAGGACTCCTGGCCGGGTGTCCATCCTGGGAGGAAGGTTCCAGGGGAGGCCCAGGGCACAGAGGGGAGACACAGAGAATCCGAACATGGCCACCAGGGGCCGTGGGCTGGCTGTGGGCCTGGGTGAGTCCCTGACCATCGGGGACCCTGTGCTGTTGACGTGGTACTAGGGTGTTAGACATGAGGCCAGCGTGCCTGCCAGAGTGGACATGGAAGTGATCGGTGGGTGCATGGCAGCCTGGCCTGTGCTGACCCTTGGCTGCCCCAGTCCCACCATCAGCCTCAGTGCTGTCTGGCACTGCCCGTGGCGGAACTGGGGGGGCCAGGAGGTCTTGGGTGGGGGCCATGCTGGGGCCTCCACCTCCATGGACTGGGCTCCCAAGGAAGCAAAGCCCTCAGTCCTTGGTCAGAGCCAGAAAGGCCAGTCTCATGACACGAACAGGGAAACTGAGGTGGAAACGAGGCTGCCCTGGGGCTGCACATGTGGGTGTGGACTTCCACCATCTGGATGCACCAGGCATGCACGCGGCCTCCCCTCTGCTCCCAGCAGGCACCCCCAGGCACCCTGGATGTGCCCACTGCCTTCAATAGGCTCAGCCTCAGGGCGGCTGACGCCTCTGCAGGAGCCCCTCCAGGGGGACCAAAGGCACCAACGGGCTGCTAACCAAGCCGCCAATGGCCAACTCCCGGGGCACCTGTTCCTGGCTCTACTTGGGGAGTGGAGTGCAGGATGGCATGGGGCTGTCCAGCCAAGGGTCATGCCCTCAGGGAGCCAGCATGTATGTGTGTGGATGCGAGGCAGTCCGAGCCCGGCGGGAACTTTCTGGGAGCCTCGTGACGCAGCAAGTGGGGCTGCATTCTGTGTCCTTAGAGGCACACTTTCCAAAAACAAATCAACGTCCTTCTGTGGTCTCGTTAGTCAAAGAGGACTATTATTTTTGAAAGTACTTAATATAAATCGTAGCATAAACCGAATAATTATGTAAACGTTTTTGGGAATCAAAATATTCAGTATTAAGACAGATACAGTGCCAAATCAGTGGGATTAAGTGAAGACCCCGCAGGGCTCGATCTGATTTTCCCCAGTGGCACATGGCTCCCTAGTTACCACAAGGGAAGACCATGGACAGCCGGAAGCCTGGTTATGCAGCGTTGGGTATGATGCTGAGGGCCATCCCCCCGAGAAGAGCCGGATGGTGGGCAGCCTGCTTGGAAGACGGTGACCGGAGCGTGTGTCCCAGCCTCAGGCAGGAGGATTGTGGGCTCATCACCGGGAGAAAACACCAAGCCTGGGGTCAGGCCTGGGGTGGGGGTGGGGGGCCAGGCCACACACAGGGCAGGGGTGGGGGGTGGTTAGGCCGGCGTCTGCGGCATCGCGAGGCACCTCCCCCTTCCCCCTGGTTTTGCTGCTCTTCTTAGACACGCATTTTGGGTCCATAACATTCCGGAAAATCTCCAGTTTCCAGAGTGTGAGTGCCACTTCCTGGCAGTCGTGGGCAGACCAGCTGCCCTGGTCTCTGGTCAACTGTCCAGAAGCTGCTGGGTTCTCTGCTTGGAGTGCACATGGGGTGCCTGCGAGCCTGAGCCAACACCACCAAGAGCAGGGGCGCATGCTGCGGGCAGATGTGGATGGGCCCCGTGGGGCCTGTGGAGGGAGCGGCGCAGAGAGATGGGTCAAGGGTCAAGGATGAGCAGCGGCAAGGCCTTCGGTGGTAACCATAGCTACCACAGGAACGGGGCTGCATGGCCGCAGAGCCGCAGACACAGACCACCTGGCTTATCCGTCACAGAAGTCTGCCAGGCCCTGGCCTAGAAGCTTCCTGTGGGGCCGCACGTCCCCCGGGGAGGCCACACAGGCAGCCCCAGGCTGTGTGATGCGTACACATATGGGGCTGTTTGCCTGGCACGCGGACCCCACGGCAATGCTTGTGTTCTCTGCAGAGACTTTACTGAATTTTGCTGGGAGACCTGCTGCCTGGGGGATACTGGTGGGCACTGTGGGGCCCGCATGGCGCCAGTGTGGGTGTGGCGGTGGGGGGACGGAGCAGAGGTCCATCTGAAAGCCAGCCCGGGGCTGAGCAGGTCTCGCCCTGGGACCTCACCTCTGTCGGCCCCAGCTCGGTTCCCTCTGAGGTAGGGTTCTAGTTTAAAGAGATGCCGGCTCACTGGTGCCTGGCCTCGGGGCACCCTGGTCGCCTGGGCAGAACTGCCTGACGAGGTCCCTCTTGTTGGTCTTCCCCATCTGGTTCCGTGGGATCTCCTCCACCAGCAGGAACTCCGAGGGCACAGCATACGGGGCCAGGACGCCCCTGCGGAGACAAGCAGGGTCTGAACGGCAGGAACTTGGGGCCTGACAGCCCCCTCCCCATGGGACGGGCAGCCTGGTCCCCCAGGGCCCCGAAGCCCAACCATATCTGGTGCCTGCCCCGGGAGGAAGTCTCTGCTGTGACTGCTAACCCAGAGATGCCACGGCCCATGCTCCAGGTCCACCTGTGGGCAGAGAACAAACCCTCCTGAGGCCAGGCCTCCCAGAGCCAGGAAGAGCAGGTCCCACTCTCGGCTGGCTGTCACGACAGCAGGCCACAGCCAGACGGGTGGAGCAGGAAGGTGGGTAGGGCCAGGGGACCCTTGCAGAGCCCTGGGCGCGGCAGCCACGGCCACGTGGGCCGGGGCCCCGCTCTGGGCAGAGCCCTGTGATAAGCAGTGGGAGGGGCTGGTCTGTGGGTCCGAGAGCTGCCCTGTGTCCCGCACTCCCATGAGGGGCCCCCCATTAGATGGTGCGTTCTCCTGTGAGGGGCCACGTGGACAGGTCCTGCCACCCGCAGGCTCTACTCAGAAACTCCTCCTTGGGCGACAGGCACTGGTTCTCTCCTGAGGTCCCGTCCAAGCCACCTGCCCCTTGCCCTCTGACAGCCGCACATGGGGCCACATTCCCTTTGTAAGAGAGCACAGCATGCCGCCAGGCAGGAGTGTGCCTGGGGCCAGGAGGCCGTGTGTGGCTCTCGGCTGCAAGCTGTGGGGGCAAGCTCAGCCACTGGGGAGGTATCGTGGTGAGCTCATGACACCCCCCTGAACGCACCGTCACCTTGGGGTGGCTCGTGCTGAAAGCAGCCAGCCACAGGCCAGCACAGGGGGGCTGGGGGTGCAGGTGAAGGCTTGTGAGGGGAGAGGGTGCCCCCACCTACGGTCCTGGCAGCTGTGAGACGGCCAGCAGCCCACAAGGGTAGGACTGGGCTGGGCTTTGCTGGAACAAGCCACCAGGACTGTGCGAGGGAATCTGGCGGCATGGCGGGTCGGCGAGTCCCTGAGGCCCAATCAAGGAACGCACCCCTCTGAGCACCGCAGCCCCATGTCTCAGGGGTGTGTGGGTGGCTCTCCCCATGCCTGCTTCCCCTGAGGCCAGTCAGCAGTCAGCTGGTGCCAGGGCCTAGAGAGGGAGGCCCGAGGCGCCAGCCGGAGCCCGGTGTGGACGGCCAGGTGAGCAGGCCGTGGAGCAACATGGCTGCTCATCATCTGGAGAAAGCACCTCAAGAATGAAGACCAAGTTCAAGGCATTTTCAGACAGAGACACCGACAGTCCCCACGGGAGCAGACCAGCAGCAGAGATGAGCGGGAGGCTGCCGAGGACCCCGCGCCCGGGGGCAGGCTGGGACACGCATTGTCTCCTGGGGACCCTCTTGGAGAGATGATGCTCAAACAGAAGTACAGTGGACCCTTGAACAACACCGGTTTGAGTTGCATGAATCCACTTATATGTGGATTTTTGGATAAATACGGCAGAGGACTGAAAATGTGTTTGGTCTCCCTTGTGATTTTCTTCCCATTTCCTTTTCTGCAGCTTACCTCGCCACAGAAGAACACGAGACACGGTATATGCACGACATACAAACTACGTTTGATCGACTGTTCTCGGTGAGCAGCTGAGTCTGCTCAAGGGTCAGCCGTGCTAAGAGCGTGGCACACGTGCAGCGAGAACAGTAGAGGGGTGTCGCCTGGGCCCGGGTGGGGGTGCAGGCGGTGGTACGTGAGAGCCGGGTGTTATGAACTCTAACTTAGCAGCCACTTTTGAAAAAAGGAACAAAAGCCACAGAAGTTAGAAACGAGTTAGAAGTGTTAGGAAGGACGGCTGGGGGCCCCGGCATTTCCGAGAACAGCAGGCCGTGGACGCAGGGGCCTGACAACTCTGCCCAGGACGTGTTTGCACAGCGGACCCCATTCGTTTAGACTCGCCTCAAGGCCAAGTTGAGCTGTTTGTGAAAAAGCAGGCTTCCGGGGAAACGTGGACCACGGAGGAGGTGTCCTCCCGGAAGAAGGTGTGGCAGGCACAAAGTGAGGATGGGACACTAAGCCAAAGCCCACCACTCCTCCGTGGTCTCATCAAACATCAATTGTGGGTCAAGACCACGGATCCTGGATTCTTCCCTGGTGTGTAAATCCCACGTCCCTTTTCAACTTGGTATCTGGGGGATAGAAGGGTAGTGGGTGGGCCGTGCCCCGGGTTCTACAAACGTGGCACTGTTGCCCTGCTCCAGGCCACACTCACCCCCTCAAGGGGACACTGGCTCTGGCCCAAGGAGCACAGACTGAGGGAGGAATCTTGAGAAAGGAAAACCACGGCGCGCAGAGGTGACAAGGAGGGAGACCACCTTTCCTAAGAGCCATGTCTGCAGAGGCAGAGTGAGGATCCAGAGTCCGACCTGGCCTCTGTGGGCTGTGTGGCCTCAGCATCCCTGCCCAGTGATGGCCCAGCTTGAGGACACAGAGGCCTGGATGCTGGCCTCACTGTGGGACAGTACTGGAGACGGCGGGTCAGCTGCCTGCCCTGACCTCCCAGGGGTGTCCCCCACCCCCACCCCAAGCACAGAGCCCCCTCCTCAGGTCTTCCTGCGGCCTCGGTCAGAAGCCTGACAGGTGCGTACGGGGCTCCAGAGAGCGGACCCCGACTCTCTCAGGCAGAGAGCTCAGCACAGGGTGTGTGGTGTTTAATTGAAGCCGCAACAGCGACTAGAATCTTCTTTGTTGAACACCCTGCTCCAAGTGTGATTCTGCAAATCCAGGGGAAGCTAATCGCCCAGCTGTGCTACCCCTTCATGAAATGAGGGGCTCCTGCTGTTGTGAAATCATGTTGGACGAGCCAAAAATATCTTTAGCACTGAGGAGGGAGGCAAGTCGGGAAGGAAGGGGGTGCAGGGAGCAGGCAGAGGAAGGAGAAACTTCTCAGATTGGAAATAAAGAATTTAGGGGACATTACTAACAGCTTCCTTTCTGAGCTCGGCGCTGTGGCCATGCTGTCTGTCCTCTGGCCTCTGGCGTGACTGACCGTGGGGCACCATAGGCACAGGGAAGGGGGCCTGCGAGGGTCGGCACACAGAGAAAGCCCTGGGGCCATGGCACGTGGGCACGGAGGCTCTGGGGACGGTCTATGAGTGCAGGGGGACGCGTGGTGTGGGGACGGGGCTGCGGTGCGGGCACAGGCGAGGGGAGCACTGTGGCCCCAGCTCCCACTGGCTGCATTCAGCACAGGGTGGGTGGGTGAGGGAGCAGGACGGGAGGTTCTCTGCCTTTGGATTCCTCCTGAAGCCGGGGGAGGACCCTGCACCCTGTCCCCTGGCTGGGGCTCCCACCCCATGGTTCCAGCTGTCTCCCCGGTGGTGGTTACAAAGCTTCCCTGCGGCCCTTTGTGTGTTGGGGGCAGCCTTGGGGATGTAATGTGTCACCTGACCTTCCAGGTACCCCCTGACCCTGAGATGGATGGTGGCAAAGACCTGAGACCCTGACTGCCTCCCCCGACCCCGGGACAGTCCACCCGCACCTGTCCCTTCCTCCAGCCCCACGAATTCCCCTGCCTGCCCCTACCTGGCCCACTCTTTGAGCTCCCTTTGGGACAGCGAGTGTCCCTCTTGAAGGGTCACCACTGCAGCGAGCCGCTGGCCCCACGTCATGTCTGGAACTCCAATCACAGCCACATCTGTGGACAGAAGAATGCTGTGCTGACTGCTGCAGGCTGGGGACACACCCAGAGGGGAGCACGGCTGGTCCTCCCTGGGACGGGGCGAGGCCCGGTCCCCACATGTCTCCCGGCTGGAGTTCAGGGTGGGGGCTGGCTTTCCTGCGTCTCTGCCGTCCCTGCACTGCCCCAGGGCTGGGGACAACCAGTGAGCCGCGTGGGGGGTTCTCTGCCATCCCCAGGGTCCTCAGCCTGTGACCTGAGGTCAGGGGCAGGTCTGGGCAGGGTCCACACTTCCTGGACCAGCAACCACCGGTGGCCACTCTGGCACACCCAGGATGCTCAGCCCACGGCCACCGCGAGCAAGCCGGTGCTGCTGAGCCGACCAGCAGCAGCCCGGTCAGGCTGGGACCCCAGCCACGATACAGAGGTGGGGGGCGCACAGATGGCAGGCAGAGGGGCCCCTACTCTGTGTGCCCCAAGGGTGGGTCACCTGGTCTGGTTCTGTCTATAGTCAAACATAGACGGAAGCACATCTGGAACGTTGCCAGGACAGTCAGGTCTGGACTCTGCTCGCTGTTGGAGGCCCTGCCATGGGCCAGGGGGCCACGTACCCGTGATGCTGGGGTGTGCCAGGAGCATCCGCTCTACCTCCAGGGCGCTGACCTTGTAGCCACCACTCTTGATGATGTCCACAGACGTGCGGCCCCGGATCCAGTAGCTGCCGTCCTTAAACACAGCCGTGTCGCCTGAGGAAAGGCACTCTGGTCAGGACACGCGCCAGGGCCCAGCATGTTTCGAGGGGCACCCGCGTGGTGAGCAGTGCCCCCACCATCACACGCTGGGCGCCTGTGTCTGGGGGCATCGATACCCTCACACGGTGACCCGTGCTGGGACTGGGGTGCACATGGGCCGTTTCAGGACAAGGTGGCAAGCATGAAGCTCAACGGCTGTGACTTCAGCCTGTGGTCTGACCCCAGACGGCCCTGTGCAGACAGCAGCATCCCATAATGGCCGATGGGGGCCACCCGTGAAGACCAGGGTCAGAGGCAGGATGGCCGGTGTGGTCACCACCCAGCTCAGCCCCCTCCTGCTCTTTCTCAGGCTCCTGTAATCAGAACAAGAATCAGCCGCCTCCTGCCATTCCACCATGGGGTCCCAGTCACAGCAGGGTCTTAGTGGAGAGGACATCACGGCATCCCCCCCTCATTTGTGGGGTCTCCCGTGCTGCAAGGCAGTCACACGGGGTCTCTGAAGGAGGAGAAAGCCCTCCTGCCCCTCCACGTCAACTGCGTGGTTTCCTGTCATGCTTCCCCGCGTGGCAGTCCCCCCAGAGGCCCACCTGGTCCCCTCTCGGGCCACGCTGGGCAATGGGATGCTCACCAGGCATCCTAGCATGAGCAGGTGGTGGGGTGGAGGACAGCGAGGGCCAGCCCAGAACAGGGAGGACGCAGGGGAGGCGGGCCTGAGAGTGTGTGTGCATGTGCATGGACATGCGTGTGTGGACGTACATGCGTGTGGACACACACATGTGTGGACATGCGCGTGTGTGGACGTACATGCGTGTGGACACGCACATGTGTGGACATGCGTGTGTGTGGACGTACATGCATGGAGACATGCTTGTGTGTGGACACGTGTGTGGACATACATGCGTGTGGACATGTGCGTGGGTGGACGTACATGTGTGTGGACATGTGCATGTGTGGACGTGTGTGTGGATGTACATGCGTGGACATGCGCGTACGTACATGTGCGTGGACGTGTGTGGAGGTACATGCGTGTGGACACGTGCGTGCGTGGATGTACATGCGTGTGGACATGAGCATGCGTGGATGTGTGTGTGGACGTGCATGCGTGTGGACATGCGCACGTGTGGACGTGTGTGTGGGCGTACATGCGTGTGGACATGTGTTCTCCCACAATGCACGCACGTGTGAGCGTGTGCCTGTGGGGACGCCCCCATCCGGCCCTCTGAGAACAGCGCTGGCGCTGCCCCGCCTATGCTCACACACCCGAGCCCCATGCTGGGTCATTAGCTGGAATAAATCATCAATGTTTCATTACAAGTCACGCCACCCATGCAGCAAGGCACCATCCATCATCTGCCGCAGCCAGGGCATGACCCAGGCTACAAACGAGACAGATGCCTGTGCGTGGATGGGTAGCCGGCTTACTTATGGCGGCACGGGAGGGCGAGGCTCCGAGAAGACAGGCCACGAGTGTGGCAGGTTCTCTCCCGCTGACGGGAAGCAGAGGAAGCAGAAGTTTTGCAAGTGCATCCTTGGAAAGGGCATCGTGGCCCCAGGATGGCCTGCAGGGTGGCAGCTGGCTGGGGGTAAGTGGTGCAGGTGTGCAGGAGCAGGAGGGGCCGCAGGGAGGCCTGGGGTGGATGAAGTCTGCCCTGGGTCCCATGAGGCCCCTGTGCTCCTCATTCCTGGGGTGTAGCCGCCGCTCTGGCTGCGTCCCCTCCCCACCGGATGGCTGCGTGCTCTCCGGAGAGCGGTTCCTTAAAGGCACCGAGGGGCCCAGTCTAAGCTGTCACTGCCTCCTGCTGCTGGACAGACACTGCTCTAGCCCCGGGCCCTCCGGTGCTTTCCTGGACCTGCTCCCACCACCTCTACTTGCCCAGAGACCCAGCAGAGCGAGGGACCCTGCCCTGGGCTCAGATTCCTGTCCCTGGTCCTGCCGGAGATGCCCTGCACTGCCCAGACCACGGCTGCTGAGGCTGGGGGGTGTCTCCCGGACGCGGCCCCTGCCCCCTGGGCTGCTCTTCTGGTCCTGCCCTTAGCACCAGGAAGGGAGGCAGCAGGCTCTGGCTCACATCTCTGGATGGGGGAGCACCACGTCTGCTCACTGTGAAGGGGACAGGGATGGGACTGCCCTGCTCTCCGGGGACCCCTTCCCACGCTGCCTGGAGACCCACAGATGCCAGCCGTCTCAGTTCTGAATGCAGGACTACGGGGGCCAGGGAGCGCAGGCTGATCAGGGGACACACTCAGAACTGAGGCCCAGTCCCAGAAACAAGGGTCCTCAACTCCCCTTCCAGGTCTTTCTGCTCCGTTTCCTTGGGTATTGGCTGACACAGACGCTGAATCCCAGCACAGAGATGGGAGGCCAGCGTTGTCCCCAAACTCCCATGAGTGTCTAACCCATGGGCAGCCCACCTCTGAAGGGCAGGACATGCCCAGTGCCGGGATGGGGCTCAGAAAGAGGGGTCCTGGAGGGCGAGGGTGGAAGCCGTGTACAGAGCCCTGCCCAACATCCATGTGTGACAGCGCTGCCCACCTGCCATGCTCCTGGGTGGGACAGAGCCCTGAGCACAGCGTGGCAGGAATGGCACGGGAGGCCACGCGGCTCCCTCAGCTTCCCCTGCGCCTCCATGCACCTGAATCGGTAGCTCCCAGGAAGGCGAGTTAAACAGACAGCAAGCGCCCAAACCCCAAAGACCCTGGAGCAGGCGACTTTAAGGTTTATGGATAAACTGAACAAAGTGGGGGCGGGGACAGATGCGCTGCGGCATCTGAGGAGCTGTGGGCAGTCCTGCAGACTCCGTGCGGCCCTGTGGCGCCTGCCATCCGCAGCGGGAAGAAACCCTCACGTGCCTCCCAGACGCACCTAGGGGACAGACGGGGACAGCACTGACCTGCCACACATGCTCATGCTCAGTGTAGGCGGAGATACTCCTTGACAAGCACACCCCCTCCTGTGCTCCCACGGGGGCCCAGAGCCTTCCCTCTGGTGCCACGTGACACATGTCAGGCCCGGCCTCACCTTGGACACCAAGCTGCCTGCTCTGTAGCCAACGTCCGGCCCTGCCTCTGGGGAGATGTGGGCTGAGCCTGTTTTGGGGCAGTGACACCGAGCACGGGCTCACCCACACCACGGGGCTGCACCCCCTTCCGTGCTTCCCCAAATGTCTGCCTCATGCGGGGTCTGGTGTGGAGCGTGGGGGCCAAGGGAATCATGCTGAGGGAAGAAGGTCAATCCCCAAAGGTTACACTTGTCAGGTCTGTCTCTGAACGACAAGCAGTGGGCTGGGGGGCGAGGGCAACATATGTGGGGCCACAAAGCAGCACGGACGTCCATGTGTGCTGAGGATGGTGAGCAGAGTCCACACACAGGGGCACATACGTGTGTAGGGCTGGGGGGCCCTGGACAAGCCCAGGGACAGGCTCTGGTGTTGTGCTAGTGACCAGGACGTGGACACTGGGGAACGGTGTGAAGGTGCAAGGGGCCACCCTACTCGCCATCTGCAACTTCCTGTGAATCTCTACCTATTGCAAAGAAAGCGTTTTAAGAAACCGCTGTTTGGTTTGTGGAGAAGTCCTGCCTCCCCTGGGGGCTCACCCCCAAGTTGTCACTCCAGTGTCTGCAACACACTGACTAAACAATAATTTCAGAAAAGAATCTGTGTTAACTAAACTCACGACCAAAAGCAAGCACAAGAAACTGCCCACCATGATGTTAATTAATGCGCCCAATGAGGTTGTCTGTCCCTCAGGTGTCAGCACCCCGCCCCTCCTGGAAAACACCTGCCCTGCTCTCCCGGGGGTGCACGGGTGGTGCAGGGTGGCAGATGAGAACCCAGCCCCCCACTCTGCTCCTGGCACATGCTGGGCACCATCAGGCCCCCTGAGCCTGGCACGGGCTGTTCTGGTATCGCCCCAAGACAGGCCTGGGGGGCTGGGGCGGGTAGGGGGCAGCTCATGGTGGGTCGACTCCCCCCAGCCATGCGGCAGCTCGGCCTCCCAGGTGTCCTTCCTGCTCTCAGCCCCCAGGTGTCAGCCAGGCTCCGGAGCGGAGAGAATCAGCCGGACAGCTCCCAGCATCACAGGATGCAGTGTCCCAGCGCCAGCACTAGGAGGGATGTCAAAGTCAGGGCACCCAAGGCACTCGACTTGTCCGACATGGACTCTGGGATGGAGAAGATTCTCTAGGACTCCAAAGAGGGGAAAGGTCGTACGGTGCCAGGAAGGACATGGCTGCAGCTGGTACCAAGCGTGGAAGCTAGAAACCGATAAAGAGCATTTTTAACCCTGAACTCTACCTCGCCCGACCGAGCGAAGGCACTGTCACACACCCACTCCCCAAAATGCACACCCCACACCTCTACTGTCAGGAGGCTCCTGGGGAATGCAGCCCCCAGACTGTGGAGCAGAAAGGAAGGAGGAAGCTTCAGGAGGGGGATGGTGGGGCGGCGGGCCCGGGGGTCTCCCCCAAGCAGGCAGGGTGGCACCGGGGTGCCTCATGCGGGGAACCGAGAGCACAGGACCACGGTCCCCATGAGGCTGCGTTACGGCCCCACGGTGCAGACACTGAGGGAGGGGACGGGTGTGGAGAGCAGCCTCGGAGCCCACAAATGGCCACTGGTCAGACCACGGGTCTTCCAGCCATGCCCACATCACTCTGACGAAAACTGAAAACTGACACCCTCTCCTCTGCCCAGGGGTCTGGGACCGACGTGGGAACAGCGCGGGGACCCCAGGAGCCAGCCTGAATGCAGCTGGAGCTCGACATCCAACAGAGGGAACGCGGCCTCATGTCGCCACTGGGTCACCGCGTCACTGCCCACGAAACAGGGTCCAAGACAAGCTTTATGAATGCAAAGCCTGACAAGGGGCAGGAGAGACCCAGGAGCACAACCCCGCGAGCCCTGGGAAACAAAGAACTTTGAAGCAAGATAAAAAAACAAGACATGACACATCCAAACCTTCTGTGCACAGAAGGGGCCGCCAGTACCGGGGCCTGGCCAGTTGCAGACTGCATGGCCGGTCCTGCCAAGTGTGCCGAGGGGCCCCGCTGCCTGGCACAGCCTTCACGGTGACCCTGCCTCCCGGGTCAGCGGGCGCACAGGTCGGTGACAGCTGTCCCCTCCGCGCACCCACACCCGCTAACACGCAGCGCGCGGCCTAGTTCCTAACTGTGACTTACTGGCCAAGACAGAAGATCTTGTTGGAGCAGGAAAGCAGAACCCCAACTGCAGCAAGGCAGGAAGTGAGCAGACACGGCCTGAGCGCTGCTGAAGCCTTCTCCATCGGAGGCGTGAAACGTTAGTGTGTCGTGCCGTGTCGTTGAGAGCGATGATGCTCACCGAGGGAGCACCAGAGGCCAGGCATCCAAGAAAGGAAGGAGCCTTGCCACAGGGGACAGCGGCCGGCGGCTGTGAGAACCGCGCACGCGCAAGACGCGTCATCAGTTCATGTCACCGCTCTCCAGAACACAGTTTCTAAGGGCCTCCCAACAGCCGCTGCTGGACACCTGTGGACACGGGCAGTGTCCCTTATGGCCGGACGCAGAGTCCCCGCCTCGCACTTTCTAAATAACGCTGTGGCAGACGTCCGTGCGCCCGGCTCTGCCTGCCTCTCGTCATCCCTTGACCAGGTTCCCAGAAACACTCCTGACCCACACTCCTACTTGCAGGGGAAAGCACCCGCCTCACGGCAGCAAGGCCCAACTTGGTCAGAATCTTTCAAATTTGGCGACAGGAGTCCACCTCTGTCTGTGTTTCTCTCTCACCGTGAGGAAGAGACTGTATCTTACGTGTTTTTATGGCCAGCTTCTCTGCTCTCCTGGGATCTGCCCATCGCCAGGGCTGCCCGGGCCCCGTGAGCGTGCCTCTGGGGGCACAGCTCTGGGGAGCATCCCCACGTGGGCGCCGATGCCCGCCAGGGCCCCCTCTGTCGCCCTGCTCTAATGTCTGTCTCTGGGAGTAACGTCACGTGCTTGCCCTGGAGGAAGGCAAGAACCCGCCGACGCTCTGGTGGATCTTCCCAGGGTCCTTGCTTCCCATCCCTTAAGTCCGCTCGACCAGCGCACTGACGCCGAATTAGCGCGCTGCTTACCAGGTCCGCGTCGTGACACTAAACAGTGCACGATGAGGGATTTTTAGAGCAAGTCAGAGGCCGTTCGTGTCCTTACGCTCAGTCAGCAGCATCTGAGCTGAGTGGCAGGCGTCAAAGGAACTGTAAGGTCTGCTCGGCTCGGTCCCCATGTCCGTCCGTGTCCCCAGCTCCGTGTCCTCGTCTCCACTCCATGTTCACCCTCGTGTCCTCTGTCCTCTGTCTTCTGCTCGGACAGCAGGGTCAACAGAAAGGCCCGAGGGCGCCTGGCCCCTGGAATCACCTGTCCCCCTGCCCTGGGCTAGTGCCGGTGCCCGTGCCCATGGCGAACAGCTTCTCTCTGGTTGTGTTGGTGCTCAAGTAAGAGCTGGGAGGAGGGTCACTGTGGCGGTTGGCAGTTTCTGGGGGGAGACGCTGGGTCTCCTTTGTGGCAGCCGCGACCCCTGGGGGGCTGGCAAGGAGCTCCTTGCACATCTGGGGAAGGAGGGAGGGCAGGAACAGCTGGTGACCTCCGTCCTCTCACCCGGGCGTGGGCCTGGCCCTTCCCCGAGGCCCACGAGCAGCGGCTCTCCAGCTCCCACCAGAACCCGTGGCAGGAGGGGCTGGCCAGGGAAAGGGTTAAGTTTAATTTACCCTGACTTCTATTTAATATCATGCTCTCCCCGCAGGAGCCGGCAGCTGCGAGCTGATTGCGCCCGCTCATTATGCAGCCTGTATCGCTAATGGCCTGTGACAAAGGCACACGGCTCCCAGGCCTCACCCCCGAGAGCCAATTAAACACACACACTCCCTTCCTGTTTGCGGCGCATTACAATGAAATTAAACTGAATTTCAAAATCATTTTCTCCTAAAGACATCTCTTTACAATAATTAATGCATGCTATTCCTTTTCAACTCAAATATTCATCAGCAGCGTGACTGAGTGTTTTAACGCTGACTGCCCCACACTTTCCTTTGCTGCCGCCCGGCAAATCCACAGGGCTTGGGTTCCTGTGCTTTTAAAGAAAAAAAAACCCTAGAGCTTTTATCTGAATTTAAAAATAAAAGAACCTGGCCACAAAGCAAGTCAGGTTTCCACACAGGGATCATTCAGAGGCCTGCAGGAGGGACGTACAAACCTGCACCTGAGGGACAATGACGGATAGGGGCCTGCTGCTGTCGCATCAGCTCGTGGGAACGCCGTGCTCACGAGGGAAGCCAGGCGTGTTAACATGCTGACCGCACCCTCGCAGGGAGACAGGGCACCCCGAAACAGGTGACCAGGGCTCCTGGGGCCCGACCACATGGAACCCTCTGCTCCCATCAGGGATCCTGAGGTCCGGCCTCGCTCTGAAGGCTGACAGATGTCCATGCTGCACACCCTTCCTAACCACCTGCACACCGGCTTCCTGTGCCCGGCATGGAGGTTCAGGGGAGCTTGATACCTCCCCTGCAGCTGCCGGGATGCGTACTTCACAGGCACAGAGCAGAGAACCACAGACAGCTGCAGGACCACAGGGTGGACGTGAGACTGGCCGGGACCAGCAAGTCTGGACCCAGTGCCACCTGGCAGTGCGACAGGAAGGGGGCCCCTTGACACCCCCCACCAGGAAGACCCTCCATCTGCCCCCTTCACACCCAACCCTCACCTGGCAGGCCTACACAGCACCCTGAGACTGCCGGGCCCATGCGGGTCCCTGCTGTCACTCGGTGACCTCAGGTCTGTGACAGCAGCAGATGAGAGTGGACACGCGATCCCACCCCTGCATCCATGCTGGTCTGAGCTCAGCGAGGTGCTCATGCGACTGCTGTATGGCCATGAGACTAGGGACCACAGCCACCAGCTTTCTCCTGAGATGCGCGGCAGCCCCATGGCAGCCCGCTCCACCTGCTTGCAGCCTTTCTCCTCAGCTCTGCACCCCACAGGACAGGGAATGAGGCCGGCTTCTGGCTCTGGGGCTGCACGTGGGGAGATGTGAAAGCAGGCCTTTCTTTTTAGAAAATATTGTCTTAAGATTACTATGAAATGATGCATTGTCAGCAACGAAGTTTTACAAATACAGACGGGCAAAAAGAAAAGGACCACCTACATGCCAGGAGCTCATTCTCAATGAGCTGCAAATCTAATATTCATAATGTCTGCTGTAAAGTCCACATTTTGGGACCGCTGGGGCCAAGGAGGGGAGACGGGGCATCCTGAGCAGCTCTGGGTCCTGCTGGGAGGGCGCCACCTGTACACCAAGCATAGCGCCCCAGGCGTAGGGTGGAGAATAATGTAAAATCACCCAAAAGAAACAGGAACCATGTCCTACCAGAACGACTTGGATCCTGGGGGTGCGGGGGTTGGGCAAGAAGATTTATAAAGCAGGGGGCTCGTGATAGGTGGGAGGGAGGGGTGGGGAGGCTCTCTGACATCCAGGCCCTGCTGTTGCCTTCCTTCTAGAGGTTGGTGGGGTCCTGGGGGTAGGGTGAGGATGCAGCCTTGAAGACGGGAGACACGGAGTGCACCCCACCCCATCTCTGCCCTGGACAGAAGATTCTGGGGTGTGCAGGCCACCCCGCCCGGCCCCCTCCTACCTGTCTTGAACCAGCCATCCCAGGTGAAGGCATGCTTCGTTTCTTCTGGTTTGTCCCAGTATTCTCGGAACACAGACGGCCCCCTGACCAAGAGCTCCCCTTCCTTCTCCTTGAACCCTGGGGTCACCTGCAGCATGGGCGAGAGCACACACCTCTCAGGATGGGGACTCCACCTGCCTTCCTTGTGACCCCCCCAACGACCACACCCTCTTCTGAAATTAGACACTTTGTTGGAAATGACTGAAAAATGCATCTTTCAACGCTGGAACTCAATCAGATGGCTAGGAGCGGTGTCGGCCCCATCATGGCGGGGAGCTGTGTGTCACCCCGCATTCGTCCTGTAGACTCAAAGCCATGAGTCACTGGCCCACGTCACAGGCGGCGCCTGGCTGGATTCGAGCTGCCCATCCGCTTCTCAAAGCTGTGCTCCTGGCATTGATGAATCCCCATCTCAGGGTGTTTCCTGTGCAAACACGGCACACGGGAGGCTCGGGGAGGCGTGGGCAGCCACCACACCACATACACGGCTTCAGTGGCTCCCGTGGGGCCTTCTGAAGTCAGTCACTTTGCTTGGTGAGAAGGAGTCTGAGCACGCAGCCAAGCAAGAGGGGATGGCTCTGTGGGCCGGCCCCAGGTGCCTGGAACAGAGTGGCACCCAGATCACGTGGTCCTGGGAAGCAGAGGTTTGCTTCTCTGCTGTGACCACAGCGCAGGCCAGGAGGAGGCTGGGTCTTACAAGAAACTGCGTGGGACTTCAGTGAAGCCAGAAAAAGGAGGCACAGAGCACGGTGCACGTCAGGAGGGCCTGCGGGAAGCCATCGTCACACAGAGCAAAGGTGACTGAATGGAGGCCAGGGACACTCTGTTCTGACTCATCAGCTCCCACCTGGAATGAACTTATTCTGGGGAAGAACCATCCCCCACTTAAAAAAAAAAACAAACCAGAGACCCTTCGACAAAGGCTGTCAAACTGTCAGACTCATCTGCCTGAGGCCTGGGCACAGCCCACACTTCTCAGGCCGACGCAGTGGGCGGGCGACCAGAGCCTGTCCCGCACCAGCAGCTCTCGGCTCACTTCCCACTTCAGGGCCCAGCCCGGCGCCCGCCATCCAGCCTGTGTGGAGGAGGTCTGTTTGTTTTCCAACCAAATGATACTTTATTTGAACTTCACTCATTTTCCCACTGCTGCCCTTTATCTGATCCACTGCCAAGGTCAGACTGTTCTCACCAGAGATGGGGGACCCACTTCCAAGCATTGGCCCTGAGTCCCAGATCCAGTGAAAGTAATGTTCAGGGGACACCTGGGTGGCTCAGTCATTAAGCGTCTGCCTTCAGCTCAGGTCATGGTCCCGGGGTCCTGGGATCGAGCCCCACATCGGGCTCCCTGCTCAGCGGGAAGCCTGCTTCTCCCTCTCCCGCTCGCCCTGCTTGTGTTCCTGCTCTCGCTGTCTCTCTCTGTCCAATAAATAAATAAAATCTTTAAAAAAAAAAAAGGAAATAAAACCAACAGAATCAGTAAATACCTGGGTGAATAAAACTGACCATCCTGTTCCTCATGAGTTCTTTCAAATAATTTGGAAGGCAGAAAGCAAACGCTATAACCCCATCTAATGGTGTTTATACCACATGTAGATATTCCACACGACAACTAGGTGGCACAGGGAGAAGGCAAAATGACCCCATACGGGGGCAACAAAGATTCTTTGCCTGACCAGCCTGTAGTCAGGCTCCCGAACCTTCTCCTAGGCCATCTGAGCCCCTCCTGTAAAATCCAGTTCTAGCAAGAACCTTGCTACATCAGTTTAGCAAGAGTCCCCCACCCTGATACCTGGTCACCCTCAAATCTGCTATCACCTCCAGGTGACATCTGATCACCCCAGCCTGCACTCAGCAGAGATCCTGTCCGATCGGTTTAGCCAGACTCCCCACTCGGCCCTGATGTGTCCCCTCAGCAAGTGTCCACCCCCTGATCCCACCTGTTGCTTGGGAGTGAATGTCCACTGGGCCCGCTGCATTCACAGTTGTGAAACCTCACTGCAGGGGCCCTACAACTACCCCAATAGTCCTTAATAGAGTCTGCCTCGCCACCTTCAATAAGGGTCACTGAATGTTTTCTCTCTGACTGTAGGAATTCTACTTCTTTGGGGAGTGTTAAGTGCTGAGTCTAAGTAGGTCTCAAAAAGTGAAGTATGTATATTGTAGTCCCTAGAACTACTAAAAAACTGTATAAGAGCAAATGGTCAAAAACTCAACAGGTAAATGAAAATGTAACACAAAAGAATGAGTCCAAAGAGGCAGTGAAAGGGAAGCTGAGCAACGAGGAACCGAGCAGACAAACCATGAGGAGGTAACAAATGGCAGCAGGTGAGGTTCAAGCATCTCAGTAATCATGTTAAATGTACATACAGCTCTAAACACACCAATTAAGAGATTGCCAGACTGGACTGAAAAACCATACATGATCAACCCTATACCGTCTATAAGAAACTCACTTCCAGGACAGTTACCCAGGCAGGTGAGAAGCAAGGGTATGGGACCATACAGACCACAGAACACCAATCAAAACAAACTATACTGACTACAGCTTTATCAACAGCAGACAAAGTCAATGTAGGAACAAAGAACAAGCAGGGTCACCTGACAACAGAACGGTCAGTTCACCAAGAAGACATAACAACTAGAGATGCGCATTCACCAAGTAAGAGACTTTCAGAATACACCAGCAAAAATCCAAAAGCAGAAACAGACAATTACGGTGGGAGAGTCACCCCCCACCCCACGCTTAGAAATGGTCAGATGTTCGGGGACGAGCGGGGCCGGGCACCGCCGACCACCTCCAACCACGTGCACGAGACTGACATCTGTGTTGCAACCTGAACCAGCAGCATGTGCATTCACCGAGAAGGCCATGCTTTGGGACACACACACACGCCTTCACAAATTTAAAAGAACTGGAATCCTATCCAGTATGCTTTCTGACTGTAACAGAATTAAATGAAAAATGAGTAACAGGAAGATATCAATCTCCAGACACTTGGAAAATAAACAACACTCTTCTAAATAATCCATGAGTCAAAGAAGAAGTCTTAGGGGAAATAAGAAAATCAGAAAATATTTTGAACTGAATGAAAATGAAAACACATCAAAATTGGCGGGGTGGGGCGGGGGGCAAGTCCCAACGGTGCTGCAGGGAGATCTGCACCAGTAAATGCGTGAACTGGGAAAGGGAAAAGTAATAGAGAAAACTCAAGGAATCCAAACACAAGTTCTTTGAAGAAGGCTCAATAAACAGATAAACTTGTAGGAAGAATAACAAAGAAAGGAAGACACAAACTGTCCATGAGAGAAATGGGAAGAGGCACTACTGGGGATCACAGAGGCACGAAAAGATTAATAAGGGGACACTGTGAGAAACGCTATGTGTGTAAATTCAACAACTTAGATGGAGTAAAATTTTTCCTCAAAAACCACACTCTACCAAAATTCACCCAAGATGCATTAGATGATCTGAATAGTCCTACAACCATTACAGAAAATGAATTAATAGTTAAAATCTTCCAAAAAGGAAGCCTCTAGGCCCAGATGGTTTCACTGGTAAATTCTATTCAACATTTTAATAAGTATATAATACCAATTACATGCAGTCTCCTCCAAAAAGCAGAAGAGGGAATAATTCCCAACCTATTTTATGATGCTAGCATTACCCTGATACCCAAACAAGACAAAAAAGCACAACAAAAGGAAACCTCAGATGCAAACATCCTCAGCAAAATGCTAGCAGACCCAATCCAGCACATATAAAATAAATGATGTACCACAAGCAAGTGGGGTTTGTCCCAGGAATGCGAGGCTGATTCAATACTGATTCAATCAACCAACGTGATCTACTATATCAGCAGCCTAACGAGGAAAAATCAGTTGATGTAAAAAAAGCATTTGCAAATATTTCATCCAGGAGCACCTGGGTAGCTCAGCTGGGGAAGCATCTGAGTCTTGATTTTGGCTCAGGGTGTGATCTCAGGGTTGTGAGACTGAGCCCCGTGTTGGGCTCTGTGGTCAGCACAGAGTCTGCTTGAGATTCTCTCTCCCTCTCCCTCTACCCCTCTCCCTCCTCTAAAAAAAAAAAATATTTCATCTGTTCACGATAAGAGCTCTGCATATCATATGTAGAATGGAATCTGCAAAAAGCCTGCAGCTAATGTCATATTTAATATTTTCCCATTCAACATCACACTGGAAATCCTCATCAGGGCAATTAAGGTAAGAAAAAGAAATGAAAACATACAGATTGAAAAGACGGAAGGAAAACTGCTCCTACTTGGAGAAAACATGATTGTTGATATAAAAAGTCCTAGAAAAGCTACCAAAATACCTTCTAAAACTACAAAGGGAATTCAACAAGACTACTAAAGGATATGAAACCAATACACTAAAACTGATTGTATTTCTATATGCCAGCAATGAACAGTTCAAAAACAAACAGAAAATGCCACACCTACAATAACTGAAAAAGAAGGAAAGGAGGAGGGTGGCGGGAAGGAGGAGAGAGGAGAAGAAGTATACCTGGTTCTAAGTCCAGCGGGACATGAAACACACACCAAAGCAGACCTAAGTGTGTGTGGAGGCATACCATGTTCATGGATCAGAAAGACGCGGCAGAGCGAAGATGTTAATTCTCCCTAAACTGATTTACAGATTTAATGCAATTTTATTTTTTTTAAATTTATTTATATTTTTTTAAAGATTTATTTGAGAAAAAGAGAGCACGCACACAGAGGGAGAAGGAGAATCAGCCAATGGCAGATGCTTAACGGACTGAGCCACCCAGGTGCCCCTTTAATACAATTTAAAAAAATATGAGAGAGAGAGAGAGAGAGAGAGAGAACGAGAATGTGAACAAGGGGAGGGGCAGAGGAAGAGGGAGAGAAAGAATCTGAAGCAAACTGCTGAGCACAGACCCCGATGCGGGGCTTGATCACACGACCCCGAGATCACGACCTGAGCCGAAACCAAGAGTCGGATGCTTAACTGACTGAGCCACCCAGGCGCCCCAGATTTAATGCAATTTTGATCAAGATCCCCAGAGGGCTTTTATAGATATAGACAAACTATTTATAAAATTGGTAT